CTTATTTTCAATAAGCAATCCTGAAAAATATTTGGGGGTGCTTAACTTTTTTCCAGGTGTATATATATATGTAATTTGTATGATGAATAACTGTAACTGTGTGAACTAGAATAAGTAAGTGTTAATTTTACTTATGTCATTTACAAATCTGAATCAGGATAAAGATTAATAACATTTACAAATCTGAATCAGGATAAAGATTAATAACATTTACAAATCTGAATCAGGATAAAGATTAATAACATTTATACATCTGAATCAGGATAAAGATTAATAACATTTACAAATCTGAATCAGGATAAAGATTAATAACATTTACAAATCTGAATCAGGATAAAGATTAATAACATTTACACATCTGAATCAGGATAAAGATTAATAACATTTACACATCTGAATCAGGATAAAGATTATTAACACGGTACTAATTATTTATTTTTATACCAACTGATTATTATTAATATTGCGTTTGAATTGAACATTTTCATTCAGAAGAATCAGCGAATCAACAAGGTTGTCTTCTTGTTCGGAGGAGGGTCTACTAACCGTAGCGTCAACGGGAGAAAAATACGTTAGTAATTTGAATAGCTTTTGAGTGAAAGTAAAGAAGGAAATGACAACAGAACCAGAAATGGGAAGAAGAAAAGAGAGGAATACTTACTTTGTTGGCATCTCTCTCCATTCCAACCAGGTTTGCACGTGCAACTGTAAGTTCCATTGATTTCTGAACAAGTTCCGTCATTTGCACATGGTGATGTAGCACATGGATCATCAACTGTGGAGTGACACATTAATACGTTAAGAAAATCATTCTAATGGAACGAAAAATCTCAAGGCTTATGTACGCTTTCTTTTTTCATGAAAATGAAGATCATGTCTAACGTTATCAATTATAATAAAACGACAATACTAAGTATGATATACATATCGTTTCTGAGTTAGACCACATATCGTTATGTGTTAACAGTTAGACCACATATCGTTATGTGTTAGCAGTTAGACTACATACCGTTATGTGTTAGCAGTTAGACTACGAACCGTTATGTGTTAACAGTTAGATCACATATCGTTATGTGTTAACAGTTAGACTACATGCCGTAATGTGTTAACAGTTAGACTACATACCGTAATGTGTTAACAATTAGACTACATACCGTAATGTGTTAACAATTAGACTACATACCGTAATGTGTTAACAATTAGACTACATACCGTAATGTGTTAACAATTAGACTATGGACCTGATGATGACAAAACCTTGTAGAAACGTTGTTCATTTGCTGTTATGTTAAACTTGTATTAAAGTTTTTCTTCATTACCCATTCAAGCTGTCTCCAACCATTATTAACACTTCTTTTGGATCACCGGACTTGTTTGATTTTTTGTTGGAGTTTGTATTGTATCTTGGCTTGCGATTGGAAAATAACGTCAACTATTCGTTTTTTTTCTTCCCTAGATGCCCAAAACATCAAGCGGGGCGCAGTTCCGGAAGCGAAAGGAGAAGAAAGCAAGGAAGTCGAGCGGCTACCCGAGGCGTTCGTCGAAAAACGTCCAAAAAGCAAGAGAGCAAAGAGAACAAAGGTCTTGAACTTACTGAATAAGAAGATGACGAAACCCAATGTCCTGGTTCTTCTCAGGAAAGTGATTCTTCCGACTTCATCTCTGATGATGAAAAGGATAATTTTGAAGCAGAGGACACCCCATTCCCTGTCTGCTTGGTCTTCATAGACACGGGACACCTTGAGTTCGATAATATGACACTTAGTCCGAGTATCAACAACGAATTTCAGACGGAACTGTTAGCCAAAGGTCCTCAGCTATTTCAACACATGGATGGACCCTTTGATTCTGAAGGGGGCCGTGGCATGAAGAGGATGTGCTCCAATCATAGCTCCTTTATTCGCCGTTCAAGCAACCTGTATTTTGCTTCTGCTGCCTCTTATTTCCTTCATTTGCTTCAAACTCAATCTCATCATTCAAAACTGTAGATGAGTTCACCAAGTGGAAGAAGATCGAAAAGGTCTTGGCCCATGAGAGCAGCATTGACCACAAGCTGGCTTACGCGAAATGGAAAGAGGCTAAAAGGAACCATCTTTTCAGCTTGGGAATTGACAGAAAGCTTCAAAACCAAATGGAAGGAGAGCGACAACGATGGAGGGAGATGCTGAAGAGAGTCGTGAACTGCATCAAATTTCTTGCCTTTTAAAACCTTGCTATCAGGGGTCATGTGAAGAGTCTGAATTTAGCTTCAAATTCCGGGAATTTCCTTGCACTTCTTCGACTGATTTCCGAATACGACCCAGTACTAAATATCCATTTGGATTATGTCGAATCACACCCTAGCTCAGTGACTTACTTGTAATCGGAAATACAAAATGAATTTATAGGGCTTCTAGGTTCAAAAGTGAAAGAGAAACTGATCGAAGATATCAAGAAATGTAAATACTACGGAATCATGCTGGATTCGACACCGGATTGTGCTCATTGAGACCAATTGTCACATGTTGTGCAGTACCTCCTTATCGATTTTGAGAAGAAGAAGGCAACTTTGAAAGAGTCTTTCCTCAGATACATTCTTCTGCACAAGAAAGAGAAAAATGCCGCATCTATAGAACGAGTGATCCTCTAAAGACTAGACTCAGATGGTATTGCTTTGAGTGATCGCAATGTTATGATAATGCTGCCATGATGGCTGGCCCCATTTCAGGATTGCAGAAAAAGATCTCTGATCGGAATTCAAAGGCATTGTTCACAAATTGTGACAATCATAATCTTAACTTGTGTGTTGATCATGCTGCGAGCCATGATGTAGCTCTTGTGGCATTTTTTTTTTCGTGTGGGCAAGAGTATTTACGAGTTCTTCTCCCCCTCTAACTTGCGATGGAAAGCCATCAAGAAAACGTTCAACGTTACCGTGTTGACGCGGTGATTGTGGTCGAAGAAAACCTTGACGCCATGCTGGGTCTTTTGGAAGATATGTCTGAAGACGAGAATACCACCCTGAGACCAGAAGAGAAGCACTTCAAATAATCCAAAACATTCTCCAATTCAATTTCTTGGACCTCCTCCCCTTCTGGTCAAAGATCTTATCCAAACTGTATCGGGTCCAGATGCGTCTCCAAGATCGGACGATGAATTTTCAAGAGGCCGCGACAGATCTCCGTTCTTTCAGAGAGACTCTTGAGGGCTCCAGAGATACGATCATTGGCGAGGCGCTGGCAGAGGCCAAGCAATGTTGTGAGGCATGGGGTAGGTATCATAAAGCTAGTGATGCTGAGCTAACGGCTGATGAAAAACTAGGACGTGTGATGAGGAGTACTGTGGATAAATTAATCCAGGAGATGAGTGACCGGTTTCAGAAACTTGATGAGCTTTACCAGCGATTCGGGTTTCTCTTGAATGTGGAAAAATTGATGGCTGGTGAGGAGGATGTTCGGGACAGTTGCATTGACTCGGCGAGTTGTTATGATGGTGATATCAGTGGAACAGAGCTATTCAACGAAAATACTGACTGTCGCATGCTCCTTTGTAATCAGAAATGACTCCAGCCAAAGACACCTTTGGAACTTATTGAATTTCATGTGTCTTACAGAGAAGACGTTTTTCCGCATCTTAGGGCAGCACTGCAAATACTGATGATGATCAGAGTGTCCATTCCCGGAAGTGAGAGGTCTTTCAGCAAGTTAAAGCTCATTCTTACTTACCTGAGAGCTTCTATGTCTCAAGATTGTCTTTGTGACCTGGCAGTATTTAGTGTGGAAAGGGAAACCCTAAAAAGCATTGACGTAGACGGCATCATAACTGAGTTTGCGCAAAAAGGCAAGAAAATAGAATATGTAAGTTGTTAGTTTTGGTCCTATTAAAACGTTCTTTTTTTTCTTTTCAAATTTACTATTGGAGGGGGGGGGTGCACTTCGAACCCTTTGTCACGGGCGCACCAAACCTTGCTACACCACTAAACTGTTACGTGTTAACAGTTAGAATACAGACTGTTTATGTTAATAATTTATATTCAGACTACAGACTGTTTATGTTAATAATTTATATCCAGACTACAGACTGTTATGTTAATAATTTATATTCAGACTACAGACAGTTGTATGTTAACACCAGACTACAGACAGTTATGTTAATAATTTATATTTCACGTGGAAAAATGTAGATCTAGCTTTCATAAATACGCCATTGTCATGAAAATATACCTCTTTCTTTTTATAAAATGAAATTTTAAACTTTCATGGCATAGGATATGAACATAATGTTTTTTTTTTTCAGATTATCTTAGAACTGCTACTCAACAATATTAAACTATTTTCCTATTTATTTTTTCGCCACCAATTTTCAAGCCCAAAATGGTTAGGTTTGTTTTGAATTTCGCGCAAAACTACACGAGGCCTATCTGCGCCCGGCGTCCCTAATTTAGCAGTGATAGACTAAAGGGTTTGCAGCTAGTCAACACCACCCACCCACAGCCAACTGTTGGGCCATTCTTTTATCAACGAATAGTGGTATTGACCGCCACATTATAACGCCCCCACGGCTGAAAAGGCGAGATGTTCGGTGACGGTGATTCGAACCCGCGCTTACAGATTGCGAGTCGAGCGCCTTAACCATCAGGCTGAAACAGTATGATGTATTACTAACGCTTTACAGTTGGCCTTGTCAGTTATTAGTGATGCCTATTCATATTTTTCATTTATTTACAGAAATCACTTTATATCCAAAAGCCAGGATAGAAAGTAGGAAGATAGAGCAACTGGAGAGATCGATAAATCCTGCATATCAGACACGAGGAACATGTTCTAAGTAAGTGTAAATACTACGATATGTTTATTAAATAATGCACGCACAAAAACGGTTTAATTGGAAGAGGATAAAACTGGTTCTTACATATGTGAAGCATACCACTAATATCACTGCATCTTAAGTTGTAGCAGCGAAGAACTTACGATTAGTACCCTTTCTTCTTTGATGAAGTTATTACTATTTCTCGCAAGCTATATTGGCGAAAATCCAATAGGGATTATTCTGAAATTCTTTTAACTGAAAAATAATAATACTAATTGAAATATAAATGGTGAAAATGTTAGTTATGGCCAAGTTACTACAGAAGGAAGAAGGCTATTTATTATTATTATAATAAAGTAATAAGTTCGTTTTTCAGTAACCGAACAAATGCTAAGTTCATCACAACACTGTTAGTGGTTTCTTGTCAACGGCAGATTTTAGGCCTTAGTTATATAATGGTCTCACCTAACTCACCTACTTCACAATTGACTCCAGAGAATCCTACGGGACAGCGACACCTATACTCGTCAGGTGGTGTGTTTTCACAAATTCCGCCGTTCTGGCATGGCTCATGGGTTCCACAGTAGTTAAGATCTGTTAATGAAAAGATTGCATAGTATCAGTCTAGGTATTCGCATAAAATAACTTACATGTTCATTGAGCAAGCAGCTCAGTGGCGTTCGAGTCACCGAAGCATTGAATGCAACCACGCTTAAAAACTGAAAGGTAAAAACACATTTATTGTTTTCTAACTTCAATTGTAAATATTGTAGTTATTCTTTAATAAAATTACATGAAAATTAATGTTGCAGGCTACAACTTACCTTTGTTGCAAAGAAATCCGCCCCAGTTAACATAACATTTACATTGCCAAGGCTCGTTCTCACAGTACCCATGTTTGCATCCTGGATAGGGGGAACACTTATCGCATAACTCGGATTCCCAGCCTGGACGGCATCTAGTGCGAAAAATATGATAATTAAGTTAATTAATTGAATCATGTTTTGGTCTGCCAAACTTAACGATGAAATATGATTTTTTATCTCTTATTGTATAAAGTAGAGCCGATAAAGCAAACAAAAATCATTTTAAAAATAAAGGTAACCAACTTTTTCAAAGTTTTAAACTTCATTTTGCGTAATCTCTCAGTACAATATTCCGTTTGTATAATACTAAAAACTATCGTTTCTAACTTAATGCTGCCTGTTTGAGACGCTACGTTCTTGATATATATATATATATATATAGACCTTTTTCAGAAGTTAGCCTGAAGTGCTGAAACAACTCATGCCTGTTTGAGACGCTACGTTCTTGATATATATATATATATATATAGACC